CATAGTGACTCTAACGTTTGCAGTTTCATAGCCCACCCCATGCTCTCCACCACTGATTTCTAGATGGTACTGTCGACAGTGTGGCTTGGGTTGCTTCTTGGTCCCTAAATTTAAGGCGATACCACTATTAGCAACTATTCTGATGAATTCTAAGTGGCAACGTGAAGTCATGACTGAGGTGTCCTGAGGCGTCTCAATTCACTTGGGAATGCAATGTGTCCTGAATGAGTCACTTCGCTGCAATTGCCACGGCTCTTCCGAAAGGTTGACTCAGTGTCTGAAACAGGGAAAAGGCCGCGATGCATCCAACAGGGATTTCTGTGGGTTCTAATAGACTCGAGGGAGCACGAAACGAGACCACTGGGCTGGTCATCAGAATTCCAGCCCCCCCCCCCCTTTCTTCCTCCTGGCCTCTGAGGTGCAGGTTGATGGGGAAGTGGGGTGTGGCGCCCTGTTGAATGTTGACGTCTACAGACGACGCCCAGAGGCAGTCGCCGTCTTCTGCTCCAGGACACACTTTTGCAGAATCACGGTGAAGACTCTAAAGGCTCTGTAGGACCAAGGCGTTGTGCTGCTGCTGCCGCAGAGACCTGTGAGGGACAAGAATGGCAGGGTGTCCCCGTCGGCGCCTGCAGTGTGAACGGGCTGTTCCACGGATCCTGTTCTTCTGGCTGTGGAGAGAAAGCCCCAGAAGGATGGGCGAGGGTGAGGCAGGATGGGCAGCCTGGCCTTCGAGCCAGAGCACAACCTCGTCGTTATCCCCAGGAGTTCCCAAACTAGCACTCAATTCTGGTTTGGCAACATTTCTCAGAGGTCCGCACAGTATAACAACCAAATCTCTGCCATGAGTGAGTCCTTCCCAACTCACAGCAGCCTCCGAAAGGGCAGAGCAGTGGTCCCTGTGGGTTTCTGAGAATGTAACTCTCTACAGGAGTAGACAGTCTCATCTTTCCCCGGGGAGCGGCTGGTGGTTTCAAACTGCTGATTAGCAGTCCAGCATTTAACCCACTGCACAGCCAGGGCTGTAGAAATGAAGTTCACGAAAGATGTCATAAGTATCTTGGGACCCCTAGTGGTATAGTTGGTTACACATTGGTCTGCTAACCACAAGGCCAGCAGTTCAAACCCACCAGCCCTTCTGCGGGAGAAAGATTTAGTCTCGGAAAGCCACGGGACAGTTCCGCTGCGTCCTGTAATATTGCCATGGCAGAATCAGCTCGAAGGCAGGGAATGTGGTTTGGTGTTGGAGCTGTGTTTTAACAACACCACAAAGATGGTGGCTTAGCACCAAGAAATTCATTTCCTTAAAGTGTAGGAGGCTAGGAGTCCTGACGCAGAGTGCCTGCCCCAAGGACGGCAGCTAACGGGAGGTTGTCCTCTCTCTGAGCTCCTGCTCCTGGGTCAGCATGTGCACGTAGCTCGGCCTCTCTCCCATCTCCACCCTGCTCACTTGCTTAGCTCTTTATAACTCCAAAGAAATAGACTCAAAATGTGAGACTCAAAAAAGTTCACAGGGAAATGGAATGGAAAGATAATGAAAGTTTTCTACAAACTTTTTGAAATCCCCTGGGCCATCCTGCAGAGTCCTGGTGGCATAGTGGTTACTCATTGGGCTGCTAACCACAAGGCCAGCAGTTCAAGCCCACCAGCCATTCTGTGGGAGAAAGATGAGGCTTCCTACTTGTGTAAAGAGTGACCGTCGCAGGCAGTTCCACCCTATCCTGTCGGGTCACCACGAGTCAGAATTGACTAGAGGACAGTGGGTTTGGGGTTTGAGTTGGGACACCTGCACTAACCCTGCTTCGTCAACAGAACAGAACCGTTCCCAGATGGGGTTACAACCTCAGGTGTAGAGGTTAGGACTTACAATATATCTTTCAGGGGGGTTGTTATCCACACCAAAAGGGAGCACCCCAACAAAACAAGCAAACAAAAACCGACCGCTTTAGCCTCAATCACTGCGTGAGTTCAGCAAAATTATTTTTAGATACTTTTTTTTAAGTAGCTCCAGCTTGCCAAGAATAGAGTGCTTGACTTTCAAATAGTTGAGTGGTTTTTATTTTTATTTATTTTTTCTTGTTTGTTTTTCATCTCCAATAAGAAGTCAGTGGGTTTAAAGTATTTGAAAGGAGGCTCTTAAAAAATGTCATGGGCAAATTCCATTATCTTTCGATTCCAGTTCTCCACCAACTTCACTCGGTAAGGTACTTGTGGCTTATATGACCTCAGGCTCTAAAGCGACGTGCTCGGGTGGGGGAGGCATGGTTTGTAAGACTTGTGGTGTGTTTGTGATTTACTGTCTTTGGGAGAACTGAAGTGTGAGGTCCGTGAAGTGTCCACGTCATAGAGATGACAATGGGTACCTTGCCAGTTGGCAGGAAGGGACCAAGCGAGCCGGTGCACATTTCTCCAGCAGGTTCTTCCCTGAGACCACCCTCTTCTCGGAGGGCTTTGGGGGACCACCCTGTGGTTGACAGTGGATATTGAGTAATGAAGATTTAGTTTACCAGGGACTACCAGAACCATGTCAGAACAGCCGAATGCCCCTTCGGCATGGGATGGCAAGGCTTCGTTTGCACATCCTTCTGGTGTGTGGTCAGGAGGGACCCGTCCCTGGAGAAGGACACGGAGCTTGGTTAAGTGGAAGACCCTCAACAAGAGGGATTGAAACCGTGTTTCCAATTGTGAGGTCGCCACTGGACTGCGCAGTGTTTTGTTCTGTTGTCTAAGGGTCATTATGAGCTGGACCCAATAGCTGGCACCCAATACAACACTGTAGAAGGTGCAGGGGTGACATGTCCCTTTCAAGTTTTGGAAAGATCCCTGTCCCGTGAGAAAGAGAATCGAGAGGGGAGCTAGCTGGGTCCCTGGGAGCCCACTGAGCGTTGGTGACAAGGGTTTGAGTCAGGGCGGGGTGGAGGGAAGGTGCTCCTAGAACACGGGAGAGGCTGGATGGGTTTGTGTGGTGGGATGCAACTGGAGAGAGATGTCTCCCACTTTTCCATTTCACGGGTCCGCCCCCACAGGCCTTCCCTCTTGAGCCAGAAAGGGATCTAGGTGTCCCGTCCCCCACACACACACACACACCCTGGAAGACCCAGGCACAAAGAAATGAGTCTTTATCCCTAGGTGGAACACATGGGAAGAGGAGGTGTCCACTCTTCAGGATCAGCTGCCTGTCAGTGCCCACAGCTGGGATTGGAGAGCAAGTTCCATTTATACATGTTAAATGAGAGGCACCTACTGGACCAACCAGGCTCCTGGTGGCACTGAGGGTTAAGGATTCAGCCACAAGCCACCACCTACAGGCGGGGTGATTTAAATAAGCCACCCAGAGGCTCCCCAGAAGACCGGTCTGGCCACAACCTTAGAAACCCTGTGAGCAGTACACACGCGCACACACACGTGCTTGCTTGCTCATCTGTGCACGCTCGATGCTGTCAGGTGCTTGGTGGTAGCTTCACATCGTGGGCCGTCGAGAGGCTGAGAAAGAGGCCGTTGCTCACCTTTGCTGTTTCACTGCAAAAAGACACTTCCTCCACAAGCCAAGTGGTGTGACTACTGCCGCTCGGGGGACGATGCCTTTGTTCCAGAACATTCTCTCCTTTTATGCGGTCATGCTGGCCTCAGAACTGCAGTCCCAGGGGTACAAAGCTGAGCCCTGTCCAGGCTGCAATTTTCCATGGTGGTCATATTTTCCAGAACAACCGAGGGACCAACCATATTGCCTGCCAATAACTCGGCCACATATAGAATGGGTGCACAGGGCTGAGGTGCAAGCCCCCAGCCAAAAGTTGTGGCATAGCACACGCACGCATGTACCACACAGGTCTCATGACGTTTCCAGAAGTGACTCTCTGCCCCCCCTCGTCCTCACCCCGTGTTCTGTCACTCTTACTTGTGATCCTGTTGGTATGATAAATGAAGCTGGGCAGCGGGAGCGTGCAGGGGAGGGGAGGGCGCAGCACACACATCCTGCCCCCCCATGTGCATGGCTCTCAGGGTCCCCGGGGAGGGGGGTCACACTGCAGGAGACAGCAGGCTGCATGGCTCGGGGGCTGTGACGTGCTAGTCTGATCTGCCGGAGCAGCTTCTCGGGTCTTGTGGGCAGATCCACCTGCCTCCTGATGAGGGTTGTTTCTGGAGCAGAAAACGTGATTTTTCCACAGCTTTGAAGAATGTAGTTTGCTGAGCAGGGAGGAGCCCCTAGTGGGAGGGGGCTGCTTTATACTCAAGGTGGGCTGGTGAGAGTCTGGGTGGGGAGCCCAGTCCCCTAGGTCAGCAGGCACCAAGATCAAGACTTAGCATCCTATCTGTTGGGCAGGGGAAAACACTGACACTGAAGCCATCCATGTGTTAAAGACAAACTAACCTGGGTAGCACACCGACGAAACTAACCCTCGGGAGTTTTACAGCATGCAGAATCATGGTGGGTGCGCTACTCACACAAAATACCATAACACAAGAAAAAACAACCTTTAACTTTCATGATCAGTGTGTTTGGGAAATGATGTCAATATAAATCATTTGATTCTATAATTAGTTCCTGTAATGACCCAGAGCAGTTGTTAAGACAACTTAAAAATTAAACCAGATATACAGGCTTCAAGGAGCTCTGGTAGTACCTGGCTGCAAAGAGGTCAGGATTGCTTCCTCAGAAGAAACCGCCTAGGAGACCCACGGGCAGCCCTGCTCTGCCCTGGAGGGGCCACTGTGAGTCGGAATTGACACCACCACAGGAGGATTCTGCTTACAGAGCGAGAGAATCGCGTGCATTTCAAGACAGGATGGCATCTTCTGGTTAGCGATGTCGTAGAGTAAGCTTGCTGCCACCTGTGTAACGACACACACACACACACACACACACACACACACACACGCACCCCGCGTGGACGCACTGTCCTCAGAGTGCACCCACGCCCCTCCACCCCTGTCCTCTGCGTCTTTGTAAGACCCCTCCCCAGTGGCTCTGCCCCTAACCCATCTGTTCTTGTTCACAGGGCGTGTCCTTATAGAGATCTCGAGCACACACAAGACACTCAATGACAGCCTGGAAGAAAACGTAAGGAAACTCTGTCTACTTACAAAATGATCCTTGCAAAGACAAATTTGCATAAAGATTCCAAATGCGCATGAGTCCTTTGCTTGCCTCTTGTTCCCAGTTCAAAAAATTCCACAAGGAGATCATACACGAGCTGGAGAAGAAGACGGAACTGGATGTAAAGTACATGAGCGTGAGTCTGGGGTCCTGCCCCGAGGGCAGGCCAGCGTGGACTCTCTCAGTCCCCGGACCTTCCCCCAGGGCCCGCCCACCCAAGGGCTGCAAACAGTGCTGAGTGGAGAGACAGGTCGCATGATGCTGGCAGGGTGGCCCACATCGAGGGGGCTTGTTTTCACTGACTCATCTTTAAAAAGAATACAAAGTAAACATCGGCCAGACATCGTGTTTCACTTTGGGAAAGAATGCTTCCCAAGGAGGAGCTGCGAGCAATCCCACCCAGCGCTGGCACAGCCAGTGCTGATCTGACTCCTGAAAGACAACCCAGGTGGCCCTCACCCAGCACCTAGTCTTTCTCAGCCCCACCTTTCAGTCCCATGCTTGTCCCACCCAAGGAAGGGCCCTGTTTTCTCACCGAGACAGTGAACTCCCCCACCCCCTGTGTAGATGTAAGTGACCCCGCAAGGCCTGCCCCCCACACACCTGTGTGCTCAGAGAACTTCTGGGGGAGGCCACTGCGCCCAGGTGTTTGCTGAGGTGTTTGACGTCACACACATTATTATTATCCCCACAAAAACTCCCCAAGGCAGCCACTGTCCTGACCCTCCTGTTACAGAGGCCAGGGGACAGTAGGTTTCAGAGGGCTGACCCAGTCATAACAGAGCTCTGTTGGCTCCAGAACCTGTGATCCCCCACAGTGGTCCCTAGACACTCCAGTTCCTGCTTCTTGACTTGAGCAATTGCAAAGCACGGAGGAACATGTGACTTGACTTTGTTTACCAAAGCACCTTTCTGACCCCCGATGGTCCAGAAACAAACTTTGAGGAAAGGAGGGCTGACTGCTCATGAAAGAACGAGCCAGTGTCTCCATGGGCAGAGACCTACCAGTCAGCTCCAGGTCCTCTGGGAACCAGGTGGCAACACAGGCCTAGCAGCGGTGTGAACACTGAAGGGGTGTGGGGGGGTGGGGCAGCAAGGTCACAGCCGGCCTCCCTGGTGGAGGTGCCAGCAGAAGTGCCCCAGGTGGATGGGGCAGCTGCTGGTCTGGCTGGGAGGTGCCTTTGAGCCCAACCTCATTTCCAGGCAACACTGAAGCGATACCAAACGGAGCACAGGAGCAAGCTGGACTCCTTGGAGAAATCGCAGGCCGAGCTGAAGAAGATCCGGAGGAAGAGCCAAGGTGCACGGAACGCACTCAAGTACGAGCACAAGGAGACGGAGGTGAGCAGGGAGGGTGGCAAGCAGCCGTGGTACCAGTCACGGCTCCTGTTTCACAGGTGGGAGCACTGGGGCTTAGGCTAGCTAAGTGGTTAGCATTTGAGACTGGAACCTAGAACGTTCTGCTCCAGAGCCCCCAGTTCCACCCCTGCTGAACAAACTAACCTTCCGTGGGCACTGCCCGGTGGGCACATAAGACAGGAGTCTTAACAAGGAGGATTTTTATCCACTCGAGTTGGGTGGCAGCTTCTTTTTGCCTGCTGTTTGGTTGTGTGGCATGCGTGCTCCGTTGTGAAGGCGAGCAGGAGGCTGGCAGGCAGCTGTCTGGTTCTTGGAGCTCATTCCTGTCACCCTGTCACGGTTGTTCATTTTCCCAGTACGTGGAAACCGTCATTTCTCGTCAGACGGAAATCCAGAAGTTCATTGCTGACGGCTGCAAGGACGCGCTGCTTGAAGAGAAGAGGCGCTTCTGCTTCCTGGTTGACAAGCACTGCAGCTTTGCAGGCCACATGCATCAGTATCACCTCCAGGTGCGTGCTGCGTTCACTGCCCGCCAGGTGCTGCACCCCCTCCACCTCCACTGCCCCCACCCCCTGCCACACACACACCAGCATTTATGTGCCTTCCCCTTCGAGGAGTCCCAGGCCTTTGGGTAAAGCAGGCCCAGATGTGGTCTGCCGTGTCCTGCCAGGGTCCGGCTGTGGTGGGCAGCTGCTAGCTCTCCCTGCCCTGTGGTCCTGCGCCCCCTCCCTGCAGTCCTGGTCCAGTGAGCACTGTCCAAGGAGTGCTATGTGTGAACTATGTCCAGAAGGGTCCCCAGCTGCCCCAGAAACAGGGCCACTAAAGGGCCCTTCTAGGCATCCATGCTCAAGAGTAACAGCCAAGTGTGGGGTGAGGGGCCCTGGGCTGTTTCAGACAGGGTAGAGGGGTGGTGGGGCAGCAATCTTGTCTCCTTTACATGTGCAGCCTAGCTTTCTGGCCCCCCAAAAGGCCCCAGTCGGCTCCCCCAGACCCTCCCTGGCCAGCCTTCGGGGCCCTGGGAACAGTGGGGGTTCACACAGACTGTTCCACTGTCCTTCCTTTGTAACTTTTCACTTTTTTTTCATGATTTTGTCCAGAACAAGTTGGTTTTCCATCCAACAACCCATAGTTTTATTCTGTGACAGTACCTTGTAATCCCCAAAGCATTCCAGCACCTTTCCCCACAGCCCCCACGCCCCCCAGGCTCCAGTCCCCTTGATGGTCCTTCTCGCATCCCTTCCTTTCTTTCTTTTTTTTCCTTCAGTTTTTAGATCTGTTATATTTTAAAATATATATAACATCTTTCAAAATACAATGTATAACATGAAAAATTAAACATTTTAAAAACCGCAATGAAAGCAATATATAGATAAACCAAAATGAGAAACACTGGGTGTTTATCACCAGCCCTTTACTGTACATCAGTGGTTCTCAACCTTCCTAGGCGCAACCATTTAATACAGGTCCTCATGTGGCGGTGACACCCCAACCATAAAATTACTTTGTTGCTACTTCATCACTGTCATCTTGCTACTATTATGAATCGGGTGACCCCTGTGAAAGGGTCGTTCAACCCCTAAAGGGGTGCATCCCTTCCTTTCTACTGAGGTTCACAGCAACCACACTGCGCTCCAGGTCGGAGGTGGCTGACTGGTTAAGGAGGGCGGCCCTCTCTGGAGTGACTGTCACCTTGTAGGCCTGTCTGTGGTTCGGCTGGAAGTCGAGCCCCGGGGATGAGTTCCCTTCTAGGCCTGAGGATGCCAGGGCCATGGTATCAGAGGCTCCCCTGTCAGTATCAGATCTTGAACTTTTTTTATGATTTTGAGTTTTGTTCTGAATATTTCTCCCACACTCCCCAGCCCCTCCTGTTGGGCTCCTTTTCATTCTCTGAACATGCCCTCCATCCTGTGTGTCATCCCGTGTTAGTCTTCCTCTGTGTGACCTGAGGGGCTGGTACACTTCTGTGGAGCACTTAAACTGAATCCTACATGTGTCTCCCCACCAAGATGGCCCAGCATGGTGCACACGGCCTGGCACTGGCCTACAGCTGTTCCCCCAGCGCTGTGTGCTGCCCTG